TCCTCCCCACCTCCCCATCCTCTCCACCTCTCCATCCTCCCCACCTCCCCATCCTCCCCACCTCCCCAGCCCTGGCAGAGTCCTGCTGGTAACTGGAGGGACAGAGTCTCCGGGTACCTGAGGCTTAGATCCCAAGCAAAGGCCATGTCCCTGAATGCAGAGGGCACGTTTGTTTCACCTATCCAATATTTTCTAAAGAATGACCATTAGTTGTGAATATTTTTAAATCAGGAGATTTTATTGAAAAGCTCAGAAGTTCAATTTCTCATGAGCAACCAGGAGATCTGGCGTCCCTGGGCCCACATTCTTCCTGTCCGCTGTGGAGTGGAGGACAGCTGCCCCTCAAGGGCCCACCCAGGTGTTGGACCTGGGCGCTACGCCTGCCGCTCCTGACAGCAGTGGGCTTTTTGCTCTGAGTACCTGTATCTGCGTCCTAAATTTGCCATGACAAACTACCACAAACGTGGTGTCTTAAAACCACAGAAGTGTATTCTCTCTTGGTTCTGGAGGCCAGAGGTTAGAAATTAAACTGTGGGCAGGGTCATGCTTCCTCCAGAGGCTCTGGCGAGAATCGGTCCTTGACTCTGCTAGTTTCTGGAGTCGCTAGGCATTCCATGGCTTGTGGCAGCATCAGTCCTGCCTCTGCCTCCATCTGCACACGGCCTCCTCTCTTTCTCAAACCTCCCTCTGCCTTTCTCTCATAAGGACACTTGCCATTGGATTTGTGGGCCACCCAGATCATCCAGGGTGATCAAGTCTCAAGATCCCTAATGTACATTTTCAAAGGCCCCTTTCCAAATAAATTAACCTTCACAGCTTCCCAGGGATTTAACATGGGTCTGTCTTTTTTGGGAGCCATCATTCAATCCACTTGAGTGCCTCAGTTACCTCCTCTGTAAAATGGGGATGACAGTAGTAGTGCCTGCTTCATGGGGCTGCTGTGAGGACTGAAGGGGTTGGAAGAATGCCTGGCACACGGTGCTATCTAAGCATCAGACACTGTTGGTGGTATTCCTAAGCTAAAAAGGAAGTCGCCTTTGCAAAGTCTAAGGCGGGTGGGGCAGAACACAGCACCTCTCTGGCTGATGCCCAGGAGTGTGCAAAGGCGCAGGAAGTGTGCCCCTGTCTCAGGCAGCTGCTAACACCTGTCCTCCTTCAACTCCCACAGACAACGGCCCTGTAGGGAAGCGGCACACAGGCACAGCCACTGTGTTCGTCACCGTCCTGGATGTGAATGACAACCGGCCCATCTTTCTGCAGAGCAGCTATGAGGCCAGCGTCCCTGAGGACATCCCCGAAGGCCACAGCATCGTGCAGGCAGGTGGCCCGTGGCTCCTGGGCGAGGCGGTGGGCGGGGAGAGGTGGGGCCACACACAGCCCTGAGGGCATATGCTCAGTGGCACCAGGGGCGGAACCAGGCAAGTACCCAGGGTGGGTCTGCTGCTCTGGAAGGTGCTGTGGGGAAAGGGGAACCCAGGCCCCCTCCCATCCCAGGGAGTGTAGGCCCCCAGGTTGCAGAGCTAAGGACAGGGCTCTGGCTCCCCACAAACAGAAAGAAGCCTTGGCCTCCCCCTCCACATCTCCCACCCCACCCAGAAGGGCCTTTCAGAGTAGGAGGGAGAAGGAGATGTCACAATTTCCCGGAAAGGAGTTGAGGAGCGAGCCAGGGCCCAGCAAGGCCCAGAACAGAGCTGCTTTCACAGCGCCCTTGGCCAAGGCTCCTCTCTCGGGAAGTAAACAGGCCCAAGAAGAAAGGGCTCCTTTGCCCAGGGAGCAGGCACAACAGCTCCAAGGCTCAGAGGGAGAGAGGGGAGGACCCTGAAAACGATCTATGTGCCCCCCCACTCCTGCCTAGAGGCCTCAGTTGCTGGGTGGGGAGGGAGGCCCGGAATGAATGAGTCTCTTTACCAGCTATGGGGTTTCAAACTAGGAGGCTGAGCCAAACAGCGAATCTGGACCTGCTCACTGGGGCAGGCTCCCAGGCTTGGGAGGGGCAGAAGCGTGGGAGGCTGGCAATGCTCGCTTCCCTACATTGGGACCAGGAGGCGGGCAGGAAAGGGCTGGGGAGCAGGGAGCTGACTCCGAGAAACACAGAGAGCCAGAAAGCCCTGGGGATTTGAGAGAGTGTGGTGGCTGGCTCCAGAAGGAGAAGGAGAGGGTTCTCTCTATCAGGGCCTCAGCTGGTGAGGACTTGGAGCATACCCCCTGGCCTGGCACCTGAAACCCAATTGAGAGCCCCTCCCACTCCTGGGCTTTTCCTTCTTCAGGCCTCTAGGCAGCCTCATCCCCTACCCCAACCTCCAGGAAGAGAATGCTAGTGGCAAGCAGGGCCTGCTGGTGGGATGGATGGCTACAGGCTGAATCCAGCCTGGGATACGCAGGGAGGCCCCAGGGGAAGCAAACCAGGAAGAGATTACTGAGCCAGAAGGGAGGAAGGGACAAAACCCTGAGGGAGGAAGCCTGCCCCACTTTCTAAACCCAAGGGATCGGTTTCTATTTACACAATACCACTCATACTGAAATCCTCGAGCTCGCGAGTTAATATAGGGCAGCACTGATTCCTCCCCATTTCTCAGGGAGAAATGCAGTCTCAGGATGACTTCTCCGAGGTCCTCTAAGTTTCTTGTAAAGCTGGACTCACTTTTTGGGATCAGATTGGCTTGGAAGGAAGTAGGCTTTTCCAACAGGGTCTGCTTGGAGAGAAATCTATCTAGGGGCATCTCAGGGAAGATGGGGCTCTGTGTTGTGCCAGCTCCCGCCAGACTCCTGCCTGAGAGGGCGGGGACACCCCCCGGCTGGGCCACTCTTCCCTCTGTACACAGAGGCCTCATACTTCTGTGCACAAAACTGGGGAGTCAAAGCGAGGGGTTGGACGAGGGCTGGCCTTCTGCAAGCTCCCAGGCTGGTAGGAAAGAGAAGACGTAGACAAGAAGGACTCATGCTGCCAAGAGAATGTTCCTTGTCCTCCCCAAGAGAGGTGGGAGAGAGTGGGGGTGGGTCCAGGCAGGAGGGCTTCACAGAGTGGGTGTGTGTGAAGCATAAGCCACAGTCGGGGTGACAGGTCGTTCAGTGTGCCTGGAGTTTTGGATCAAGATGATGCTAGAAAGATTTGTTGAAGCCTGATCGCAGAGGGCACTGCGCCCTGGGCTGGGGAGCTTTGGCTGTATCCATTTGACATTAGGGAGCCAGTGAAGGTTTTAGAGCTGCAGAGTGGCAAGCCACACAGCTCACTCCCTGGGAAGACTTGGCTGACTGCACTCCTTTCCCGGAAAGGAGTTGAAGAGAGAGCCAGGGGCAGTTTTGTGGCGCGATCCTTGTCGGCTGACTGCAACAGGAGCGTGGCGGCCCAAGTCCTCCCTCTGCCCACCCTTCAAATTTGGGACCTGACCAAAGTGTTTCACCTTGGCCTTGTGGGGAGAGGTGAAGCAAGGGCTTGGGATTCTGAAAAGCCATCCTGGGGTGGGACTGCTTTGACAGGTAGTCAGCAAAGCACTCTCCAAAAACACAGATAGCATCCCTAAGTGTGGGCCGGGCCTGGGGCCCCACAGCTGTCCTGGAAAGGTCTGGACCATCCCACCCTCGGGGAAGCTGCCTCTTTCCCTGGGTGAGTTGTGGAGCCGCTGTAAGCTGTCCTCCTCCGAGCCCCGGTGGCGTCACCTCCAGCTGCTGGCAGTGTCCTTCCTCTTGATGCTCTGTCACAGCACCTGCCCTGGCCTCTGAAGGGAGCCTCCTCACCCATCCTCAGTCCTTTCCTGATTGATCCTAACTGGACTGGGTGAGTGCCCGGAAGAGGGGCCACCAAGACGGCTGCCAAGACTGTGCTTGGAGAACCCCCGTTTGCCCCTCTTCCCAGCCAGGGCCAAGGCATCGGATCCCAGGAGGGAGGCAGTGCCCAGGAAACCCAAGGAAGGGAGCCTTGGGGTGTTGCCCCAGCACTGGGCCAGCACAGATAGCAGGGCAGTACCTTGGCTCTGGTGGAGGCTGAGCATTTCACTCTGCCAAAGGGAACCTTTGCCATTCGGCAACTTCCGCAAGCTGGGCTTTGGTACCTGGAGAGCAAGGCTTCTGTGGGGAGCGAGGGTGCTGCTTCTAGGAGGTGGTTATGAGTCCTAGGTTGTCCCCTGTGGAGCCTCAAGCCAAAGGCCCAGATGGCCACAAGTGCCCATCTCTTGACAGGAAATCTTCAGCAAGCAGCAGCTAGGGAGTCTGCAGAGAGGAAAGTTCTCTTCCGAGGACCATCTCTGGGAAAGGGCACTGGCCTGGGCATGCAGGGAGCTTCTGGAGGGGAGGTGGCCCAGGCTGCTTGGGCCACTGTCTTCTTGCAGCCTGCAGCACTGGTCTCTGTCTGAGGCAGGAGGATCTGCAGGACCTAGGGGGCATGTGTATGGACACCCCGTCACATCTTGGTCGATTCCGTGCGGTCGCAGTCGCCATGGCTGTCACCAGGGCCTGGCAGGGGCTGTCGAGGGGTGGTGGGCCGGCCATGACGGAAACTGTTCAGGGAGAGGCGCAGCGAGCCCAGGCGCTTCCAGAGCCGGAGCTGGGGCTCACTGGGGCTCCCGGGGTGGTGGGGCATGCACTCACGAGCCCTGCGGCGGCTCGGGTCCAGCGCTGCCGGCTTACAGAGTGTCATGAACAGCAGACAGGTGGCCAGCAGGAGGAAGATGCAGGCCAGGGCGATGAGCATGGGGAGGGGGCCGATTGCCTCTGCAAGGGTCCCGGGAGTGACGGGAGCTGAGAGAAAGGCGAGGGGGCTGATGGCTGGGGAGCTGGTGAGGCTGGGGCCCTCTGTGCTCATGGTTCCTGAAACAGCAACAGGACAGAAGCTGAAAGGCAGATCAGCCGGACCCAGGGCAGCAGGTGCGGCCTAGGGAACATGGATGGGGGCGAGGCAGTGTTAAACTGGACAGCATCATGGCCACATAACAGGTTAGGACAATGAAGCCCAGAGACATGACAAGCCTAAGTGCACAGACAGCTGAGCAGTGATGGAGCTGGGCCCAGGCTCAGGCCCTCTTCCTGCTCCACCCCCAGCCCATCGGCCAGGGAGACAAGAGGGTGGTGCCTGTCCACATCTCCAAATCAATCCTCATGAATCACCATAGGGTCTTAGGCCTGAAAACTTGGGACCAGCTCCATCAATAACTTGCTCTGTGGCCAGGAGCAAGTTATGGATGGTAGGAGGCTGCAGCTACCAGGGACCATAGCAGTTATCTAATGCCGAGGCTGCAAACTGGGGGCCCACTGATGTGTTTCGTTGGGTCCTTCCTGTGTTTTCATAAATTTAATTGTGAATATTTTCAAAATAATAACAGATTTCACAAAAATATCTGGATGCCTGACTTCTCTTGAAATGTCAGAATTTCACCATTGGCACTGGCCCATATTCCTGCCTCATATCTGTGTCTGGGGCTGAGCAGCTGCTGCCCGCCCCATAGACAGGGGACCGACCTCCAGCTCCCTGCACTCCCTCACAGGCCCACCACACACCTTATTTCACCTGCCTGGCCCTGTGGGGATTCCTGTGGCTGCTTCCCAATGCAGTCCAACTTGCTCCTGTGGCAGGTAGGGAAACTGAGGCCCAAAGAGGGGATTTGGCATTAGGGAGCCAGTGAAGGTTTTAAAGCTGAGGAGTGACAAGCTGGAGCTCACGCCTTGGGAAGACTTGGCTGGCTGCATTGTGGGTCACAGCAGGGTGGGGTGGGCCAGCTTGGTGGTGGGAAGGCCAAGGCCATACTGTGAGCCAGTGGCCAAGTAAAGGCCAAAAGCAGGTCTCCTGACTCCTGGCCCCATGGCCTTGCCACCCCTCTGGCCCCTAGCCGTTTCTGGGCTCAGTGAGCTGCTCCAGGAAAAGGTGGGAAATAAACCCACAGGGGGCTGACAAGTGGGGCTGGAACCCCCCCGTCAGGGACAGCATGCACCTGACAGGGCATTTCCGTTCCTGCTGAAGGTTATCCCATGAGACACAATGCAGCAGGTGTCCTTGTCGATGGAAGACCAGGCTAAGCTTTTGGCTCAGTATGTGTGGGGTTGCGATAAAAATGCTCACAGAGCCTGGCCAGGAGATAGAGCATGACCAGAGGGGACCCGGAGGAGCCGGCCCACCTGGAGAGCACCGGCTGGGCCCTCTCAAGGAAGTGGGGGGGCCTCAGCCCAGACCAGCGGTGCCGATGCCAAGTGCAGGCCCAGTGTGGTCAGCTTTGTCAATTTCCCAGGAGAAGCCGGAAATCTGGATTTTTTTTTAGGCAAACATTCTAGACGTTTAAATGTTGGTAACAAATTCAAATTTGTTTAAGGAAAGAAAAGAGCAGTGGGGTGGGGGAGAACACAGCAAAGGCCAAATAAACTTGATTTCAAAATAATGTGAAATTAATTTTCAAATATTTGAAACACTAGACCAGCCGAAGAAAACACATAAGCAGAGGACGTCCAGCTTGCAGGTCAGCACACGTGATCTTTCAGTTCTACTAACGCGGACAAGAAGTCCCAGGGGTTCTGATAAAAAAAAAAATTCTGATTTCCCTTTGACTTTGGGGTCTTTCCTTTTCATGAGGCTGGGGGATGGCAGATTTTCCTCCTTCCCAGCTTGCAGCTTAGATAACAGTCCAGTTTCTAGCACAGAAGCTCAGGAGAAGGAAAAGCCTCAGGACACACCCAGGCTCTGCGTGTAGGCTGCAGAAAAACTCTGCCACAGGTAGTGGGGAGGGAAGCGGGCCACCCAGCCCCCCACCCGAGGGACTCCTGTCCCTGCCCCAAGCACTCACCAGCAGCCGCAGGACCTGACTCCTGGCTCCCCACGCCCAGCCGACTGAGGGTAGGCAGAGCACCCCACCTCCCACCCACTCCCCACCACCGCCCCTCCCAGCACTTCCAGGCAGAAAACGACCCCTCCCAGCACCCGGCTGGAAAGTGTGATGCCCGTCTAGCTGCCCAGGGCCTCCGCCTTTGCAGCATCAGTCCTAGGGAGCACTCTGGCTGGGCAGCTGTGCATGGGTTGGCCTTCCCTTGAGTCTGAGCAGGGAGAAGGGGGGGGGTGTGCCCACTGCCCACTCCCATGGGGAGAAAATCAGCCATCCCTCTACCCTACCCTGGGCAATGCTTGGCTGGGAGTAAGAAAAGGGCAGTCTGAAATGGGCGATGCTTCAGTCCTGCTAGTTCTACTGTTATTTCAAGGCCTTCAAAGGAATCTGGAGACCCTTTTGGGCTAGCAAAGAGCATCCGGGCTTCAGGCCTTGGGATCTGCTTTAATAAAAAGATAAGTGAGGCCAGGTGTGTCAGCTCATGCCAGTAATCCCAGCCCTTTGGGAGGCCAAGATGGGAGGATCACTTGAGCCCAGGAGTTTGAGAACAGCCTGGGCAACATATGAGACCTCATTTCTTAAAAAAAAAAAAAAAAAAAAAAAAATTAGCCACGTGTTGCATTATGTGCCTGTGGCCCCAGCTACTCAGGGGCTGAGGCAGAAAGATCATTTGAGCCCAAAAGTTTGAGGCTGCAGTGAGCTATGATCACACCATGCACTACAGCCTGAGCAACAGAGAAACACTGTGTCTCAAAAAAAAAAAAAAAAAAAAAGGATAAGTGGAGTTGTAATTAGCATCTGAGTAGTTCCTGTGGCAACATGAGATTCCTAAGTGCTTGAAAACAACACAACACCCTTCCCAGGGCACAAGGCAAGTCCAGCTATCAGGCCCCTTGACACCCCCTACTGACTAACCAGCAAAGGCCAGCTAGTGCTGGGAGAGGGCACCTTGCCTAGACCAAGCCAGGAATCATCTGGAGGGCAGTTGAAGCCACTCCCTTCCCACTGGGGCCAGGGTGCGCCAGCAGGCCCTGCTCTGGACATATCTCTGCAAGCTCATTCTAGAACCTTCCTCTTCCCTTAGAGTGCCAGAGAGCAGGCCCTGCTGTGGGTAGAGAAGACTGCTGCGTGGCCTTGGACTGGCCCCTACCCCTTACTGGGCCTTGCTTCCCCTCTTTACAGAACCAGAGGACTGCCCAGGTCTAAGCACAGCCTCACGTTCTCCCAGGAGTCCCCCAGCCAGGGTTCCCACCACTCGTCCCTCTCCAAGCCTTCTCCTGTAGTCCCCCAAGCACTGACCTCAGAGCCAGCCCCCAGCCATCCGGAGTTCCGTGGAGAGGTCTTCTCTGCTGTGCAAGGGAGTCCCGAAGAGCCTGTGACCCCAGCCCTGCCCGGGCTCTGCTGTGCCCTGCAGCCCACGGGCAGAGTGGCCTCCCCGTCACTCCCCAGCTGGACCTGGCTTTGTCTGGAAGAGTTGGGGCCCTGTCTTCGGGGAGGGGATAGCTAAGGGAGTAGGGACGGCAGCTGGGTTGGGAAGAGGCAGAGGGGAGCTGTCCAGAGGTGCAGGGATGCCCCCCAGCCTTCCCACCTCCTCGCTCCAGCCTGTCTCCTCGGAGCCCTCTCAGGGGTGGGGGACTCGGGAGGCGCAGGGGGAGGGTTTGACTGCCTCTGCCTTCCCATGGCGCTCACCTTCCCCTGTTGGAAGTTTGAATGGTATGGTCGGCGGCAGCCAGCGGGTCACTATTCAGTGCCTGCCAGCCGACAGGTTACCCGGGAGAGGGGCTACAAACCGCGATGGGAGGGGAGCAGGCAGAGTGCTGGGCCCTGGCAGCCCCTGAGGCTCCTCCTGCAGCGTCCCTGGGCTCCGCTCCTTCCAGGCTTTTCCCTCAGCTTCTAGAAAAGCACCTTCCTTTTGAAGGTGTCTGGCTACAGAAGCGAGGGGTGAGAGGCATCTTCAAAGGTCAGGGGGATCCCAGAGCAGAAAGCACAGGACTGAGGGACTGCCAAGGCCATGCTCCCCACAGTGTGGGGGGCCATGGAGAGACCTCCACTGGGGGCTCTTTCCAAACCCCCCCCAGCGCACGCACACGCACACACACACACTCTCTCTCTCTCTCTCTCTCTCTTTCTCACCCCCTAGCCTTCTTTCTTCTTCCCTGGCAACCAGCCGCCTACTTAGGAGCCCAGGTCTTCAGCAGCCTCCCCACCAGGGACCTCCAAGCTCCCAGAAGTGCAACTCAGGACGGGAGTCATGGCTTTGTCCAAGACCTGAGCCTTGGACCATTCCCTTTGTTGGATCCCCAGTTTCTGGTTTTTGGCTTTTCCCTCCTGCGCTTGCCCACAAAAAGAGGCACTGTCTGCCAACCCCAAAATGGACAGGAGCTTTCCTATGTGCTGTTAAAGCTGGAGAGATCCTCAGGGTTATCTGACTCAGCCCCCTCTTGTCTCAGATGACCAAACTGGGGCCCAGAGAGGTGTGACCTGCCGAGGGGCACCCAGCAAGTGAGTGTTGGGGGCCTTGGTGTTTCCCCTCTGCTGCGTGGGCAGGGGCAGGCATACAGTGTAGGCACAGCATCTGACCCAAAGGCATCTCCAATGCCCAGAGCCCCCACTGGGATTCCTGCACCTTCCATCACAGCCTTCACTGCCCTCATTTTCCTTAACTTCCTCTTCTGAAACCAGCCAAACCCTTCATCTGTGGCCCCCATTCCTCCTGAGATGGCAGAAGGCAAAGCTTCCAGGGTGGTGCAGGCTGCTGGGGCAGGGAGGTGTCGAGGAAATCTCGCCATGGATAGACACGCAAGGGTGTGCTCTGGGCAGTGTGCCCTCTTCGCTGTCCTGAGCCTTTCCAGATCTGGACAGTTGAAGCACCCCATTACATCCCTCCACCTTCCAGCTCCTAAGATTTCTCCGGAAATGGGGAGAGAAAGAACTGCACGGCAAGGGGCAACCCGGTCATCCCCAACTCTGGCATAAATCAAGAGGGCTTCTTGGAGAAGGTGGCATCACTCATGTCAACCTTCACTACCCATCCCTGTGCCAGGTACCAGCCAAGATGCTTAGCAGGATGACTTCTAATCTTCCCCTCAACCCTGCATCATCATTGTGCACAGTCTAGTGATGAGGAAACTGAGGCCCCGGGGGCTAAAGTACTTATCCATGGTGCCACAGAGAGTAAGTGACAAAGCCTAAATTCACACTTGGGCGTGCCTGACCCAGAGCCCTTGTTCCTTTTGCTCCAACATACTTGTCCTCCTCCCCACCATCGATGTGCTCGTCAGAGTCTTTAGACATGCTTAACGCAGTGCCCGGATGTCCATTGAGTCCGACCAGGCCAGCACCTGCTGCAGGCTCCTCGCCGTCCCTCCACACCGCCACGTCTGTGCTCCCCATTCTGTGGAGGCATCACTGCTGCTGATTGAGGCCGTCATTCCACTCTTCAGCCACAGCCCTCTGCTGTCCCTGCATGAGCCCTTCACTCCAGACTGGAGTCCCAGTTCCTTCCTCAGTCTCCCCAGCCGTCTCTATCTCAGCTCACACTGTTTCCCAGCATGAATGTTCTTCCCACCCCTCTCTGCTAAGCTAGGCTCTCCCCATCCTTCCAAACCCAGCTCCCTGCTTTGGAAACCTTCAGCCAATCCTGCCCTCACTGCTTTCTTGATCTTTGCTAGCAGGAATCCATTCCCATCTTCTCTGCTGTTTTGTCCAGTGAGCAAAGATAGGAAAGCCTGTATTAGGGCTTTGGGTGGCAAGAAAAATAATCCATTCTGTATTATCTTAGACAGGGCCAGACATGGTGGCTGATGCCTATAATCCCAGCACTTTGGGAAGCCAAGGCAGGAGGATTGCTTGAGCCCAGGAGTTCGAGACCAGCCTGGGCAATATAGCAAGACCCCATCTTTACAAAAAAATAATAATAACCTAGGCGAAAGGAGAAGCGTGCTGGAGCAATACTGGGATACCCCAAAGGTTCAGAGGAAAAGTCCAACAGGGAGAGAGGCAGAGCTGGGCTCCTGGAATAACTGGGCCCAGGGAAGCAGTGCTGGGTGTTGCATGAGCCCTTCATTCCTGCTCACTGAGTGTTCCCTACTTCCTCTCCCTGGAGCTCTGCATCTAAGTCGCTCACATATTTGGCCCTACTGTGTGCCAGGATTGTTGTTCCAGAGACCAGGGATATGACAGTGCACAAAGCCCTTTCTTCCTGTGGGGATATAGGCGATAAACAAAGGTAGAGTGTATCAGAGGCTGATGGGGGTTAGGGAAGGCCAGGACATTGGAGTGGGGGCTATAACTCCATATGCAGTCCTCAGGGAGGGTCTTAGGAGGAGATATTTGATCAAAGACCTGAGGGAAATGAGGGCATGAACACACAAATATCTATAGGGAGAGCTTGCTGGGAAACAGCCAGGGCAGAAGCCGTGAGCCCAGCACACGCTTGGTGTTCAAGAAACAGCCAGGAGACCAGTGAGCTAGGGCAGTCAGGAGGAAAGAGTGGTGGGCGGTGGGGCCCGGGGGTGGGCAGGAGAGGGCGGTTGATATTCCCACATCTTACTGCTAGAAAGACTGACTCACTCTCTCTGGGCCCAAGGTCAGCAATCCCAGAGAAGGATGCGATTGGCTCAGCTTTGATCAGGCACCCAGTCCTGGACCAATTTCCTCTGGCCATCTTCTTGAGGCCAGGAAGAACACGGCAGCTTCCTTGCGTACCACAGGACTGAAGTGAGAGGTGGTGAGACAAGGAGGGGCAGACCCAGAAGAAGTGGGAGAGCCCAGGGCTTTACTAAGCAATTCACCACGGATCATCAGGACCACATGTCATGGGAGGCTCCCCGCCTCTCTCCACACTGCCCCGGGGGGTGTTTGTTCTCCGCCTGCTTCGGATGGGCAGTGGGTAAAGTAGGTATTCAGTTCTGGGCTTGACAGGACTCACACTGGGGTCAGCTATAGTTCTGCCAATAGCCTCAAGACTGGACTCCTTGTACAAAGGGCTGAGTACTAGGCAGTGTCTCAGAGTGACAACGACATCCCTCACACACAAGCCCCACCAGAGACGACGCATAAACACATAAGCCTGAGGCACAGCCTCGCCTGCCAGGCTGATCTGAAGCTAGACCGGGGTGACCGAGTATGTGAATGAAGTGAATGTTACGTGTACAGTGTCGGGCTGGGACCCAGTGTGGCTAGAATAGCTTCAGGCCAAGGAAATGCGAACAGGAGGCAACCATGCAGTCCAGCCACTGTGGGAGAGGCTCCTGGGCTGGGAAAGGCTGCCGGGTAGGGAATGTGGAGGACGGGACAGCCAGAGTGAGCCTGGACCTAGCGAGCTGTGGTGCCATCTTTCACCTTCTCCGTCCTCCTTGTGAACCTGGAGGAGGATCGGGGCAGAGCTGGCACTGGACAGGACCGCAGGGGCCATCAGCAGTTGGACATCCTCGTGGGGATGGGACACACACGTCCCTTTGTCTCCCACACCCCCAGCCTCTTGTGGGAGACCACAGGTTTTGGCAGGATGGGGTCGGATACGTGAAGGGAAGGGAAGGGCTCCAAAAACCTCTTCTCCCGCTGCTGGGTTGGAGTCGAGAAGTAACTCCAGTGTCTTCTTCTCCCTCAGCTGAAAGCTACAGACGCGGATGAAGGCGAGTTTGGGCGTGTATGGTACCGCATCCTCCACGGTAAGTGGCGCTACCCTAGCATGGGGGGGGCAGCCCTCCTGCCTGGGGGAGGGCAGAGCTTCTCTAGGCTGCCAAAGGTCTGGGAGATGAGGCCAAGAAAACCCCAGGACTGTACACATGGGCGAGGCCAGAAGGAGGAAACAGGGACATTCTCCAGTATTCATACCAGGTAGCTGAGGGGGGTGGCTTTTAGTTCCTGTGTTCCTGAAGTCCCTGGTGTCCTGCAGAGCTTCTCAAAGCCATGGCCCTGGCAGAGAGGGCCCTAGCAGCCCCCAGCAGCATGCTCCTTAGGGACTGGGTCCCATTGGTTCAACCAGAATCTGGTGCCCGTCCCTGAAGCAATCACTATGGCCAGAGAAAAAAATATGCTGACCTACCAACTTCTTGAATCAGGGGTAAAGTCACTACTCACAGATGTTATGGACTGAGTGTAGAGGAGAGTGCATCCCCGAAGGAAAATCAGGGTGCTGTGCCCAGAAGACGAGGGAATGAGTGCTGGACCAGCCCAGAGACACCCACTGAGTCCTAGATCCAGCCATTCATGGCGAATTTGGATCAGTCACTCTTTTTGGAGTGCCCCAGGTTCTTCTGAAATATTAACAAGGCCTCACACTGCCCACACCTGTGGGTATAGGGGTCAAGGAAGACACCACCCTCCCTACAAGGAGGGAACAGGTGAATTTCTGCCCCCAACCATGGGAGGCCAGCACAGCAGGAGACTTCTGGGCAAGGTTGGTGTTCCAGGGGGTCTGTCCCTCCACACAGGTAACCAGGGCAACAACTTCCGGATCCACGTCAGCAACGGGCTCCTGATGCGAGGGCCCCGGCCCCTGGACCGGGAGCAGAACTCATCCCACGTGCTAATAGTGGAGGCCTACAACCACGACCTGGGCCCCATGCGGAGCTCCGTCAGGGTGAGGCTAGGGGCGGGCTAGGGTGCTGACCTCAAGATAGGGCCAAGCCCACAGCTAGAACAGAGAAGGCCATTAGTTGGCACCTGGTGCAGGCAGGGCCACCACCGGTTTAAGTGCAGAATGACATCTGAGGCTAAGGGTTTGGTGACAGGTGCCCAGCCTGGAACTTGGACTTGTCATTTTGCTCTGAGCCTGTTTCTCC